TAGTGGCTTTTTGGGCTTCCCAGAGAGGAGATAGAGGTGGTTCCATGCACACCTCCAGGTTGCATGTAAGCACCCAAGATGTGTTGGTTGACTCTTCTCCCCAGACCGCCTGTGCCTCCAGTGTGGTTGATGCTGACAGCCTGGAACACATGCCAGCAGCTGTGCTAACCCAAGAGTTACACTGATGTCCTCTGACCTGTGTGAGGCTGAAGGTGACCATCAGCACCCAAAGAAAGCCAATTTTTGCTGCAGGTACCAATCCCCTGGGAGCAGAACTCCCAGGCATGGCTGGAGTCCCTGTGGAGCAGTGCCAGGTGACCCAGGGCTGTCCCATGCTGTGTTCATTCAGCCCCTTTGGCAAAGGCACGTACTAGATTGTGAGAAGGAAAAATCTCATTGTAAAGTAACTTGGCTCAATATGTGCAACCTTTAGGTGCACTTCCTTGCATCTGGAAAAAAGCAATCTGCTTTGAAACACAGGGAAAAATTTCTGCTGGAATTCTGCCCTCAAATCACAAAATAGGTTAGGGGTTTGTCCCTGAAAAAGATTTTTAGAGTTTTACCCCAAGTGGCTTTTGCAGTGATGTGGAGCACATATCCTTTCTTCTTCCAGGTTTTACTCTATATGCTTTTTCACCATACTGGGCAAAGATCTGTTGAAAATCTTGACTTATGACTACAGTAACTCTTGCCTGAAACATGCACATAAGCAAAATGCCTCAGTCTGAATGATTTGTAGGAAAATCTGTATTTATGTTATTACAATTTAGGGTTTTAGGTGTAATCTTTGTCTTGAAGGCAGTGAAATTTGTAGTTGCCTTCTGTGCAAGAGAAGTTGGAAGGTGTGGAGTAGCTGGTGAGTTTTTCTCTCCCCTTTTCTAAATCTCTTGTAGTTTCTCAGTTTAGCTTTCTGGTAAACCCCTACTCAGAGTCCAAGAATGTAATCAATCCTCCTTTTTTTTTTTTTTAATTTTTGGTGGGTTTTTTGTTTGATTGTTTTTGTTTCTGTTTTTGATTATTGCCATGACTGTGGGGAATAGCTGCCCTCAAACTGAGGAAGCTGGAACTGGAGAGCTGCTTTTTCACAATTAGCAGGAACAACACTGAACAGGATGAGTAACTTTTGGGAAAAATAATTTATTTTTTGTTAAAGCAGACTTTGGTTATCATTTGGTTTTGCTAGATGAGTTTGTCCTTAACAGCAAGGACCTACAGAGGAGTCCACAAATGCAGTGGTGTTCAGATTTGCAACCTAAAGAAGGGATGCCTGTCTGTTGGACCCAGAGATGGGTGGAGGTGGGACCTACGGGGATGCTGGGGACAGCTCAGCAGTCAAGATTTCCATCATGCACACATGACATTGCTGCTGGCATGTTGGGGTCCCCAGTCTCACCTGGCATGGTGTCCTTGTGGGCACTGGTCCCAGCCACTCCCCCCAGCATACAGGGAGAGTGGGAGCACCCATCCATCAGTTTCTGGAGTTTTTGGCTTCCTGTAGCATGAGCTTGCTAGTCAAAATACTGCCATGCAGTGCTAATAAAAAAAGAGGATGTTTGTTTTTTTGTTCATTCCCAAAGTGCCAGAATTGGCAGTTCTCTGGCCCGGGGGGCTGGAAATGTGGGCTTTGGTCTGTGGGGACCCTGTCAGTGCTAATTGACAATAGATCAAGTGTGTGGGTGGGAGAATAATTGCAGAAATTAAATTGTCAGCACGTCGCCAGAGCTGGAAGAGCATGAAAGTCCTCCCAAACCTGGATGCTTGGCTGAAATAGCTACATGGGGTGAAAGGCTGGGTTTCCTCTGGCAGTGCAGACAGGCAGAGGCACTTCCCACAGCAGTCCATGGGAATGGCATCCTGGTGCTACTGAGCTAACAGAGCAGCCCTGTGTCATTCTCAGGAGATGGAGGAGCACTCTTGCTCCTCTCTTGTGCTGTGTCCTGAGCAGGAGCTTTCCCAGCCTGACCACCCAACTGGGAGGGTGAGCTCTGGGCAGTGGAGAAGAGCCACAGCATCAGGGGAGATGCACAGGGACAATGAGAAGGCTGTTTCTGCTCATCACTTATGCATTATTTTTCCTATGTGTTACTCTGTTCTTGACACTCAGTCCACAGAGATTTGTTGTTAGTTTGCTCTGACTAAAATCAGGTGCAAGGTGCGTGGCTTGCTATGTGAAAATGCCAGCTAGAATGAGGTGAAGAGGAGAAATTGGGACAAACCTGCATCTACTGTAACTGTTTGAGCAACCTAATCCAGGCATTGCAGGAAACCCAGGCAGTACTGGGTGTGAGCCAGGCCAGTGGAAATGTGAACACATCTTTATTTGCTCTTGTCAGAGGGGCTCAGGTGTGTGTGGTTGCAGGACTGAGGACTTGCCACCTCTCATTGCACATGGCATCCACCCAGTGTGGGCTCTGCAGCATCATTCCTGGGAGTTTTTCATACTTGCCTTGACTTCACAAATAGTATCACTGCTGATTGTGCTTGCTCCTAATTACATAAATGAAATCACATGTGGGCTTCAGGTGACTCTGAGCTTGTGGTGCCCCAGCTCTGGGCACCCAGGGACAGCAGTGGTGTCCCACAGTAAAGCAGGGAGAGTAGTTGGCTGCTAACCTGTGCGGTAGAACTGATTTTAACACCCTTAAAAATGTGTTAAATATGCTCATATTTACTTTTTGCTTGGGTTTGTTTTTGGTTGTTTTTTTTTTTTTTACTAAGGGTGAATGTCTCCTTACT